AAACCTCTTTACAATCTCTTTATATAATGGTCACATTCATGAATTTAATCACTATTGGTTTACTTGACCAACGAAGTATTTCTTGTTTATTCTTGATGTAATAATTTACTATTGATGACACATAGTGCCAGAATGATTTAATTTGAATAATATGATTATGCAAAAAACAGAAGCAATGCAGAAATGGCATAGCCTATTTTGAAAGAACTCCAAATTTAATCTTTGGAAATTTGGAAATGGTATAAGAAAAATAAGGTAAATTTTAATACTATCTTAATACTCCAGCAAATGTAAAGATTAAAACAATGAAATATCTTGTTTTGATATGATATGATGTCTTTGATATATGATAATGTAAAATAATAGGACATGATACTTTAAATATATTGAACTTGAACAGTGACTAGATATACATTAGATTAATAAAATATTAATGAAGATTGATATAATGACAATAAAACAAGTTAAAATTGTAATAAAAGAAATTTAAATAGGAAACAAGAATGATTTATATTGACCTATTTCTATCTATTTTTGATTGATAATCAACATTTCACTGTGACCTAGGCCAGTGCTTGTATAGGAGAGTATCTTCCATAACACCTATAACTATTATTTTGGTTCACAGAACGCATATTTGGCATCTAAAAACGTCATAATCGAAAAATTTTTCTTGTACTATTGTGCTATTCATTATTACATAAGATCTTCTGTTGGACTAATCTAATTACTTTTATTTACAGACACTTCAACCTATTTCTAAACAGTGGCAGTGTCAGCTTTATAAGACTTGAGGACAGACAGAGTCAATGGGGGGACAACTGTCCAGGTGGAATTTGAAATGCACTAGCTCTGCGGAAGCGCCATTGATCTGGTGCTCTCTGACACATATATTGAGGTAAATATGTATATAAAAGCATATTTCTTAGTTTAATGTCTTGATTCTTTAAACAGCTAGGGCTCTAACCAGGCATATAGACTATAGATTCCATACTAGAGGTCCTAGATAGATTCATAGGATGTTCATCTGGGGTTTCACAAGCATACCCTGCCTCAATTAAAGCTTGAGCTACATTGATATCTTTTCTACCACTAGTATCAAACAAATTCACCTTTAAACTTCCATTCCATGATCTACAATTACATGAAAGTCAAATTTAATGTCAAATTTTTTGATTAAATTTCATGTTTTCACAGTTAATCTCTTGTTTTCAACTTGTGATTATAATGGAAAATAATATGTATCAATGAATAACAATTTGTACAAATGATATTTCAAACAACTTCAAGAACATTAGAAAATGAGAGTTCTCTCCCCTACATTCTGATACTGTTTAAGTACTTACTTGGATGTTATCTGAGCTACAAGTGTTTTACCATCAACTAAACTATGGAAATATTCCCTAATAAATTATACAATACAATTTAGTTATATAAGTATATGCATGACTATGATAAAGTTGACAAAACATTAAGTAAAAAAAAAATTGTTGGCTATTAGATATGCAATTAATAAACATTGATACATTCATAAACAACACAAGATATATACATATACATTTTCCCCTAAATTATGATTGAAACTTTGTTTTCCCACTATGAATAATGCTGAAACTATGTTTGATTCATTTCAATGTTACCAGTACTAGTTTATACCTACCTTGAAGCATAAGACCAAACAGTTTTCCTTTTTGGAAGTTCAACATCTTCTAAGAAACATTCTAGAGCTTGTAATGGTAGATGTAAGAACTGGGCATCTAATTTACGTATCTTTCTTTCATCTATCCAACTTGTATTACCAAAATCAACAAAAAATATCTATATAATAAAATATATAACTTAACAAAATATTATATTTAAATATAATAACCTATTTTTCCTATACATAAAATGAAAATTAGTAAAAGTATACAGCAGAAATTTTCTTAGGATGAAATACAGTATATAAAGGATATTTCTTGAAAAAAATGTATTTGCTCCAATTTTCTATCGTAAAATCATTTAATAAGCTAAATAACTTGATTATTAATATAGTTTTTTTTTACAAAATCTTACATAACAATATGGCA